CTGGCAAACCAGATAACGGATCATTTTGAAAATTCAATAGAGGGCATATTCGGACATTCTCTAGCCAACTAAAATATTTTCGACAATGTGGTGTTGCCGCTTCTATTAGAAAGCAGTAGCAACTTTGATTTTTCAAATAGAACACTCTGTATTTTATTGCATTTTTAGATCCTCCCTGAAGAGCTGATTTCATCGATGTATCACACTTGGGGTCTAGCGGAAATGATTACAGAGATATAGGGTGTGAAAAATCGACATTTTTCAACTTTAGGATTTTTTTGTGTCGAAACTATTCATCATTGGTCAAAACGGCTCACATGTCCCTATCTCAACTTTTGATTAACACTCTACTGATATTTAATTGGGACATATACCGGGTGATCAAGATTCTGAATTCTGCACCACCCTGTATTTGTTTCAATTAAATGTTAGTAGATAGTTGATCAAAAGTTGAGATAGGGACATGTGAGCCGTTTTGACCAATAATGAATAGTTTCGACAAAAAAAATTCCTAAAGTTGAAAAATGTCGATTTTTCACACCCTATATCTCTGTAATCATTTCCGCTAGACCCCAAGTGTGATACATCGATGAAATCAGCTCTTCAGGAAGGATCTAAAAATGCAATAAAATACAGAGTGTTCTATTTGAAAAATCAAAGTTGCTACTGCTTTCTGATAGAAGCGGCAACACCACATTGTCGAAAATATTTTAGTTGGCTAGAGAATGTCCGAATATGCCCTCTATTGAATTTTCAAAATGATCCGTTGTCTGGTTTGCCAGAAACGTCTAATTAACGCTCATCGTGAAAAGCCCTGTATAAATACACATATAAACACATAAAAATATTTACAATAACAATTATAATAAATAATAATAACATTTACAGTAATGATAATTGACCACAACAAGGAACAAAATCAATGTAGGTAATGAACAAATATTTATATGTATATATATATAATTATAGAAATAGTTCCTTTCATTATGATTATGATTTTATTTTAATTTTTTTATTCACTTTCCTCAGCCATTTTTGAGGTCTATCATATAATGTATATCCTTTCTTGATTTTCTATTAATCCATTTCTTTAACTTGGATTTGAATAATGAGAGTGAGTTGAGACTTCTCATTTGAATTGAGATTGTATTATAAAGTCTAGGAGCAAGAAATAGAAAACATCTCTGTCCAATAATAGTCTTGAGCATTTTAGGCACTTCCAGTGTTTTTTCTTTATATCGGGTGTTGTAAATGTGAGTAGGTAACTATCGTTTGCTCGTTGAAATATATTTACGTTGATATACCAAAAGCGTGAAAAAAAATGCTTGTCGTATATCAAGAAATCCCGATCCCCTATATAGTTCATCGCTAGGATAGTCACGCTTTTTACCAAGTATAATTTTTATGATCCATTTCTGAAGTGTTTCGAGTTGTTTCAAATAATTGTTCGTTACTCCGCCCCAAGCAATAATTCCATAAAAGATATGCGTTTGAACAAGAGCATAATACATTATACGAAGAAGGTAAATGTCAAAGAAGGTTTTCAAATACTTGAACTTACTCAAGTAGAACCGCAATTTCTTAACCAGATTGCTAATATGTGCATCCCATCTCAAGTGACGATCCAGTATAATGCCAAGATATTTAACCGTTATGCTTCCCATGAGCCGCATGTTTTGGTTTCCATTTTTTATTTCAATGTGATTGAAATCTGGTAAGTTCGGTTCATAACTGGTGAGTGGTAAGTATACTGTTTTTTCTACGTTGACTGTTAGGAGTTTACTATTATAATAATCGAGTAAAATTGGTAGAGAATTTTGTAATTTTTCTTTTAGGGAGATCCAGTCTTGATCTTCAAAGAAGACAACCATGTCGTCAGCAAAACTACTGATTTCACCAGAGATGGGTAAGTTGAACATTTCATTGACATACAGTATTAATAGAATTTGGTCCTAAGACAGTTCCCTGCGGAACTCCATAGCGTATAGTCTCTTTACTACTCAGAGTACTATCAATTTGCACACATTGCTGTCTATTATTTAAATAACTATCTATCAAATCTAACGATTTTCCTCTGAATTCGATATTTTCAAGTGACTTCATCAAACATGGGTGGCTCACGGTATCAAAGGCTTTTGCCAAATCGATAAAGAAGCATATTGCTGGTTCCTTGGAATCTACCGCTGTGTATAGTTTTTTTATTAAGTCGGCAATTGCATCTTGGGTCGATTTACCTTCGACAAAGCCAAATTGTTTTTCAGAAATCAATTTATATTTCTGCAGATAATTAATTACTCGTTTTTTTATGATTTTTTCTACTATTTTAGATATATTGGATAGAACTGATATAGGTCTATAATTAGAAAGAATTGATTTTTTACCTGCCTTGTGAAGGGGCTTCACGACTGCAACTTTCAATATGTCTGGAAATATTCCAGTATCTAAAATCAAATTGAAAATTCGTTCAAGGGGATAAGTTAGATGGTCAATACATTTCTTAATGGTGTCCGCACCAATTCCGTCTAAACCTGGGGCTTTATTCGATTTCAGTTCCCTTACAACCTGTTTGATCTCATTTCCATTTGTTGTTTTTGATATTTTATTGGCAAGATTTGCACCTACCTCGATAAAATAATTATTGAAGGATTCTGATATGTCTAAGGTATCTGTTATGGTTTTATTATCAACCTGTATATTCTTAATATTATTAGCCGATTCTTTTTTCTGCAATCTCTCAACACACTTCCACATGTGTTTCGGACAATTCCTATTCTTATTTATTTCTCGCTTATAATATTCTGAGTTACTTTCGTTAATCAAAGTGTCTAATGTATTTCTATATATTTTGAATTCGTTTCTCAAGTTTGTATCATATGGTTTTCTCTGTAGTTTTTTGTACATATCATTTTCTTTGTTGACAGATTTCACTTAACCGTCAGTAATCCAAGGACTCCTTTTCAGGTTTTTTTCTTTTAATGTTGACAATTTTAGTACTCTGTTTTATATACTTTTTCAATTTATGAATGAATGATTCCGTAATATAATTTATGTCTTTCGATGTGAACAGTTCCTGCCAGTTTTCCAGTGATAATAAGTGCATCAGTTCATTATAGTTTATGTATGTTTTCTGGTAATCATGAGTTTTTTCCTTTTCTAGTTCAGATTGGAGCTTATATTGAAGAATTTCGGAGTAATGATCTGACAGAGAAGATTTCAACACTATTGGACTGAAATCTTCATATATTTCCTTGGTTTTTACAAAAATATGGTCTAGACAGCTCTTGCTTTGGCCTTGTACACGAGTTGCCTCATTAATCATTGAAATATAACCGTGTCCATGCATGAAGTTGAAATAGTCTTCCTTATCATCACTATCACTAAGAAGATCGATATTTACATCACCCAGTAAAATATTAATATCCTTATTGTTATGACAATTTTCTAAATAATTGTTCGATTCTAGATTGAAATTATTAACACTTGAAGAAGGTGATCTATATATGGACAAAATTTTGAAAGTTTTCCCATTTACTTCTAGAGTAAGTTCAATTGCATTCATATCTCCCAAAGCGATTACATTATAATTGAAATTCAGTTCCTTTCTGGTGTATACAACAATACCATCAGCTCTATTCAGGTTACCCTCAGAATAAACCATATTATACCCTTGCAAGTTATATATACTAGTGTCATATAATTTCCAGGTTTCAGTCAAAATAATGCAATCAAAATTACAACTGAATTCACTGAGGAAAATTGTTAGTTCATCGAAGTGTTTCGCAAGACTTCTTATATCATTGTGAAATATGCTAATCATTGAAGAACTGTTTCCTATCAATCGATCACAATCTTTGATTGAATCAACTACTACAGTATTTATTTGAACTGGTTGAAGATCTCTTATATATGATTCCAGTTAACAGATACATTCGAACAAGAAGATGATTTGGGTCACAATTATTGTGAAACGAATTGAAAAACGTATCCATGAATATTTGAGTTCAGGATTTCTAGAGAGACTTATATAATATATTGAGTATATAAACTATCATTATTTTGAGCTGAACCCGGCCAACCCATCAAGATAGAGTCTACACTCGACTCACTATGAACAATACAGGGTGGCATTGAGATGAGTGCAGATATTTCAAACCCTGAGCAAGCTCGACGATGTAAACTATCGAAAATAAAAGAATATTGGGGATCGAAATGAACTTAGGGGTGATACTTTTCCAATCGATGTTCAACACTGTTGCAATTCTGACGTCATCTTTGTTTGGATTTTCGTGCGGGAAGGCACAATCATGCGGAGTTTAATCTCATAAATTGTTCTGAAGTGGCGTATTTGACTTTTTTACCCTTTTTCATTCAATTCTTGGAATGGAATTTCTTGTTGAATGAAATAATTAGAAATGATCTGATATCATGAAAATATTTGTTGGACTGTTTCACATTGATGTGCTGATTATGGGCACTTATTTCAACTACACCTCGTATATCCTATAGGATGTATCTACACTTGCCAATATTTGATATACTTGTGTTCAGTATGGGTTGAACAAAACACGAACGTCTATGTTCACTTATATTCCATCAGGTAAGTCTACTGAAGTTCGAATCCCGATGGCACAGAATTTGTTTTTGATCAATTTCTCATATCTAACACGTTAAATAATACCCTATGACGTCACACGAATCCAAAGTAGCGCATTCGACCAGGAGGATCATGATTAAGTAGGTGTCTCAGATGTGACAGGTGATACACAGTTGACAAGGTGAATCGTCATTAAGTAGATGGAATAGATGAGACAGATGAGATACAGGTGACAAGGTGAATCGTAATTGAGTAGGTGTAATAGGTGAGGCAGGTAACAAGGTGGATTTTCTGCTAGAACATCTTCTGGCCATTGTCAATACTTATGCACGTTAAAGAACCTGCGACTGCTCAAAAACTATATGGACAAGGCCCATCGCCTAGCTTATTCACTTATTTCACCTACCTGAAATTCGGATCTTCTTTGATTCTTCTCATTTTCAAAGAATGATACTGGTGGTTGCTCATGTTATATCCCTGTTCGCAGAGTTCTATTGATGGCTCGACTAGCTGTTTCCATGGTAGCTTTCCAAATTTCTTATGCGCAGCCCAGTATCCCTTCAGTTCTCCTGGAACACCCATTGCCAGAGGACCTGAGAAAAAATGTTCATTCAATCATTTGAAAATCAACATGGTGTGGATTTGTGTCAATATTATCATATATCATTATACAGATTCTCCTACTTTTTCTGAAAGAATGAAATAAAGTAATGCAGTTTCTGATTACTTTATAGAAAGAATGTTATCAAATCAAATCGAATCAAATATACTTCATTGTCAGAAGAAATCAAATTCTCATCGACAAAGTCATCATACTCAGAAATAAGAATTGTGGAACATTAAGGTGTAATAAACGAATAACAATCTCGAGATATTCACAACATAAGAAACACCTTACCTCGATATGAAAAATATGAGAAAGAGATAAAAAAGTATTGACAGGTACAATTGGAAGTTGGAATGTTTCCAAATAAAATTCATCCATTGAGTAGCAAGCTCTCTTCAGCAAAATATTCCTCAAAGAACCTTCAAATTTCTTGAAATGAGTCAGACTTCTGATCTCATCTGGCGACTGATTGAATAATGTTTTCCCATCATGGAAGAACGAGTTTTTTACTTGAGTAGTACCTAGATGGCATTGGTACCGATATATTCTTAGCCTGTCTTGTGTTATAACGATTCGTGTTTTCAAAATTTTCATTCATGTATTCACTGTGAATAAGACACACTGTTTCCAAAATGATGATACATCGCCAGTGTCAATATTTTATTTTCAATGAACAAACAAACAAGAATCTCTGATTTCAATTCGTCTTCTGCTCTCTTTTGTTCCATAAATATCATATCAAATAAAAATTGACATCAAGAACCCCAATTACAAATTCCATATCTTAGATGGGAGTCTTCAAGGGCAAAGTATATAATTTTCGCCATATTTTTACCAAATTCTCGAGATGTTGTTCTAACTGCAGAACACCCAGAAGCTATCTTCTTCCTCAAAATGTTCTTCAAACATCAATTTATCTTCGATTTGTGAACTCAGAACTTCTCTTACAGACTTATTTCTCATTACTTGAGAACCAAGAAACAATTCTTTTTGCAAGTTGCAATGAGTAGTGGGGAGTTTGTTTTTGAAATATCTAATGAAAGCATATTGGAATCACACCTCTCTTTGGGTCTTATAATATCATCAACAATAATTTGTTGCAATTCCGATACATCTTGATTGTGCCACAGAATTGTCGTGTCATCTGCAAACTGTGTTGATTCTCCTCAAACATCAATAGTTGCTGAATCATTTATATAGAGCAGGAAGAGAACTGGGCCCAGCGCTGACCCTTGAGATACTCCACACTCAACTTTTAATTGAATCGACACAATATTATCGATAGATCCACTTTGAATTCGTCCAGACAAATTGGACTCGAACCATTGTAGGACCATATCTCTAAACCCATATGTTTTGAACTTTTTCAGGAGAATGTTGTGGCTTACGCAATCGAACGCCTTCATCAGATCACAAAATACTGCTGCGACAGCTCCCTCATCATTGAGTTCGAGATAGACATGTTCTAACAGATTGAACATTGTATCACCTGTACTTTTTTCACTCTGGAAACCAAACAGGACATAATTAATAATTCTATACTTACTTAAGAGAATCATCTTTCTGTTCTTCACGAGTTTCTCTATTATTCTGGATAGTGTAGAAAGCATTGGAATGGGTCTGAAGTTCGTAGGATCATTAGTATCTCCGCCTTCGAATAATGAAATAACTATCGCACTTTTTAGGCATCGTGGAAGCACTCCAGCTGCAAATCTCGAGACCAGAGGCTGGTAGTTGTAAGAATATATTCATTGTTGAATCATCCTATCCTGACGCATTTTTATTTTTGATTCCAATAAAAATTCTTTTCAATTTTACAATGTCAGTAGGTGTGAAAAAAAATGATTCAGCAACTAAAATATTATGCAAATATTGCAATCGTTGGAAGGAAAGAGATAATCTCAGCCATTGAACAATAGTATTTCTTAATATCATTACTTTCCAAATCGATTTTTTCGTGAGATATGACATAATTCTTGCCTCTCATTTCATTGACAATTGACCAGCTCCATTTCTGCTTATTGCATGATTGTTTTTTTCTGTAAAATGAAGTTGATTTGCTGCCCTCAAAACTCTTCTGTAAATTGTACGATATCCATTATAGAGTGAAAAGTTTTCTCCATTTTCATTGGCAAATTTTCTGATAGTATGTGAGAATCGGAGATTTTTCGCAGATATTTTGATACCTTTCGCTATCCAAGGTTTTTTATCTTCAGTCTTTATTTTATTCAGGAAGAGGTAGCCAGACTGTGGTCTGTGGTCTCAATATATGTTTATTCAATCCCCAATGGAGCATTGAACACAAGAAGGATAAGTTCTGTTTCCGAACCTATTCAACCGCTCGGTAAATGTAAAGGTTCAAGTTTCGTTTAGCTGAAATCAGTTATGGAAAATTTGTTGCTATGGCAACCGTTGTCATGGTAACAGGTAAACAGAAAACAAAATCCCGTGGTGAGGAAATGCATGGTTGCCAAGTTGTATCGGATTTAGTATAGCTGAAATCAGTTATGGAAAAACCATTGCCATGGCAACGATCGTCATGGTAACGAGTAAACAGAAATCCGACTCCAGTGGTGAGGAAATGCGTGGTTGCCAAGTTGTATCGGGTTTAGTATAGCTGAAATCAGCGCAATCTTCGACCCTCAAATTTTGTTCTGCTAGTATTCACACAATAACTTGATTCCAATGAATATCCTTCTTATCAATTTCTTGAAGAATGTTCGTCGTTGATTAATTCCCAAATTACTACTTCTCTGACGATCATATATGGAAATAACGTCAGGAAATAATTGGCTTTGTTATTGAACAGAGCTAGACAAAATAGCGAGCGACAAAATAGCGAGCGACAAAATAGTGCGGAACAAATAGCGCATAAGGAAGGACACTACTTTTTCTGAACAATCTGACCTGACGCGGCTTAAATGAACCTTCTTAGGAAAAATATATTTTTCAACATCGATCAGATTGGGTGCAAGGCATCGTTCGTGTGTGTTTGAAGACTGCATAAAAAAGGACACTACTTTTTCCAAACAATCTAACCTAACTCGACCTAATTCAACCTTCTTCTTGAAAAACATATATTTTCCAACATCGTTCAGATTTGGTAGAAAGGCATCGTTCGTGTATGTTTGAAGACTGTTGCTGAATATTCCAAAATGGCTCTGTTTCTTTTTGATTTTGTCGAATAGCTCGGCACGCGAAGAATAGTTTCATTGAAGAGTGTTTTTGAAATTAATGAACGAAGCAATCATTCTCCGATACAAATTGGCAACCTCACCATGGAAATCGGATTTTTCTTTACTCGTTACCATGACGATCGTTGCCATGGCAATAGTTTTTCCATAACTGATTTCAGGCAAACTAAACCCAATACAACTTGGCAACCACGCATTTCCTCACCACGGGAATCGGGTTTTTGTTTACTCCTTACCATAACGATCGTTGCCATGACAACAGTTTTTCCCTAACCGATTTCAGCTATACTAAACCCGATACAATTTGGCAACCACGCATTTCCTCATGACGATCGTTGCCATAGCAACAGTTTTTTCATAACTGATTTCAGCTAAACGAAACTTGAGCCAATGTAAATTTTGACTGCTCAACCATTTGGTTACCTAATAGTAATTTTCCTAACAAGTGCGGAAAGTGATTCTTTCCCGCACGTGACTGCCGTTGACACGAACGACGCGAAGCGGAGCTTTCAAATTGGCATCACCCTGTGGTGATAATAATGTTCACCCTATATTTGTCTATTCATGTCAAATGAGAGAATTTGACATAAGTTTATTAATTAAGATATTTCAAAAAGAATTGTCATAAAATAATCGATAATAAATATACGAAATATCCACATTGGTGACCCCGACGTTTGAAACAACCTTGAGAAATGGCAATTCTACTGAATAATCTCACCAAAGATCAGATTGTGAAGTTACTTCAGCACTTTGGTATTAGTACTAGAGGAACAGTTGGTGATATGAGGCTCATTTTAGAGGGAGAAATCATCAAACAATTTGGAGATACCAACCCTGCTGATTTTGATTTCTCAGTAGTCCTCGAAGCTATTGATTCTACTGAAGAAACAACATCAGAAACAAGAAACGATGTAGATTTTGACAGCAAAATAAAAAATTTGGAGTATTTGTGTACCCGAATGATGGAAAAGCTGGACCAAAACGATAAAAAATTTGAAAAGATAGGTACATGATATCCTTAAATTGAGGAGTATACCAGTCGAATCTTTAGAAAAAAACCCAACACAATCGCAACCTCCAGCTCCTAGCAATGCAATGCCGAATATAGCAAATGGTGAGAAAGAAATAAGTCAATACAAGTCAATTATTTTACCAGCATTCTGGAAACATGAACCAGAACTGTGGTTCAGTGCTGTTGAAACAATTTTTGATCTGTCTGGAATAACCTCTGAAAAAGTTAAATTTGGGAGAGTTCTATCTGTTTTAGATTGCACTATAGCCAAAGAAAATTCCAATCTCTTTCGAATTCCATCAGATAGATCAGATTCCTACGCAATACTAAAATCCCAATTGATCAAAATGTATCAAATATCTGACGAAGACAAGATGACAAAGCTTTTTGCAGAGTGTCAACTTGGAGATAAAAAACCTAGTCAGCTTTATAGAGAAATGACAGACCTCGCATCTGGGCAAATGACTAAAAGTTCCATAATTCTAGCCTGGTTAAGTAAACTGCCACCCACAGTTGAACAAATAATTCGTGCATTCCATTCTAAACTATCAGACGATGAACTTGTTCAAATGGCAGATGAAATGGTTAAGGTATCTTCCAATTCTTACATCCACTCCGTGAAATCCACTGAAACTTCAGATGCTAGCATATCATCACTTGGAGATAAAATTGACCATCTCATAAGCAAGATAGACGAATCTATTGATTCTAGATCTCGTTCTAGAGGAAGGAGTTGGTCCAGACCATCAAGGTATAGATCAAAGTCCAGAGTATCAG